ACAGAGATCCCTGGATTGTGTTCCCACTGGGACAGAGATCCTGCAGCAGCCCTGCTGCCAGGGAGAGCCAGCTCAGATCCAGGAACAGCTGAAGGGGCTCAGAGACAAACAGGAGCTGCCTCCTTCCTCTTAATTCACCAGAGGACCCTTGTGCCATGGCTTGACCTTTTCCAGGAATTATTTGAAGGAAGCTGGGATCTGTGACTGAGGGAAAGCAGCAGCTCTGGGGCTGTGCTGTGGCAGAGCAGGCTGAGGGTACCTGGTGAGGCAAACAAAAACCTGCCAAGCTGGGTATTTTCCCAAGCTGGTGATAAGGCTTTAATCCTGGTGTACAGCCTGAAAAGGAGCTGCTCAAGCCGCTGCTCCCGGGGGCTTTTCTGTGCAGCTTTGTGTAAGCAGATTGAAGCAATCCCAGCCTGTCACACACCTTCCAGGGCACATAAAGGCTTTAACAGGGATGCTGATGGATGCCAGTGGCTCCGATGGTGGGGTTTTCCCTGCTTTGGAATGCTGTGTGCGCTGGGGAAGGGGATGGGATGTGATGCTGGAGACTCAGACACTCCTGAGCAGGTCAAATGCTCTGAGCACCAGGTGGGACTGAGCCCAGGGAGGGCAGAAAATCCCATTAATCCAGGCTAGTCACTGAGATCCAGTTACAGTGTGGCTTTGTTCAGCTTTATTTACCTAACACCTCTCTTTGCTAAGTGTAATTAATTTTTTTTTTTCTCAAGAACAGTAACGGAGGTGTTACAGCAACCTCAGCTCATTTTTAAATACAGAAGTGCAGTTCATTGACATCTCCTCTTATAAATTGTACATTTAATTGCTAATGATTTTACCAGGCTGGTGCTGACTTCAGGCTGAGCATTATCATTTTGATTTCACATTTCAGCAAAACCAGTTCAGTTAACCCTGAGCTGGAAGAACTTGGCTTGCTCTGGCCATGTTTGACAAAAACATCCTATAAAATCCTAAACATCTCCCCATTAACCATTTCCCTGGTGTCCTTTGGGGCAGGGGTCTGTCCTACATCTCCTGTAGGGCTGTACCATTTGCTGCTCTCCATACCCACACCAGTAACTGTGTAAAATCTCCATTCTTTGCTGTTTTGGTGAAAAATGATAATCTGAGTTCTCTGAAGGTGCTGAACCTGGGCTGAGCAGGTTCTCCAGCACAGCTCCTGTGTGGAGACTCCTCTAACCTGCAGGAAGGGTTCAGCCTTGCCTTAAAGCTTTGGGTAGTGTGGGATAGCCACAAAATCACATTTTTATCCTGGGGAGGCACAGGGGGGTGAGGGGCTCTGCTGGACACAGACTCTGGTTGCTGTGGGTGTCACTGGGGTTGGAGCTGGCTGTGCTCAGATGTGGCCAGGGGCAGGCTGTGTCCTCCCCAGAGCTGCCTGCACTGGCTCAGCCTTCAGATGATTCCAGCATTTGGAACTGGGAGCTGAATTCCTCTCCCTGAAGTCTCCATGGCTGAGTTGCAGAACACACACTGAGGGAGCTTGGTTGGGTTGGTTTGGTTTTTTTTTTTTTCCCCATCTTCTGCAGTTTGTAGAAAAGTCTGTGCTTCACCTTTAGTCACAAAGGAAATGTTTTCATTTCCAGTGTCTGGAAGGAAGTTAGAAAACATGAGCAGAGGATGAGGTGCCCCCTGCCTCTCTACAGGTTGTGATGAATTAATACAACCAAGAACAGCACAGTCAAAGAGTTTTGAGCACCAGAAGCGTTTCACAGACTCACAGAATGGTTTGGGTTGGAAGGGACCCTAAAGCTCATCCAGTTCCACCCCCTGCCATGGCAGGGACACCTTCCACTGTCCCAGGTTGCTCCAAGTCCTGTCCAGCCTGGCCTTGGACATTTCCAGGGATCCAGGGGCAGCCACAGCTTCTCTAGGCACACTGTGCCAGGGCTCCCCACCTCAGAGTCAGGAATTCTTCCCAAATCCCATCTCCCCCTGCCCTCTGCCAGTGGAAGCCATTCCCCCTGCGATGGGAGCAGCTTTGCTGATTTTCCCCCTTCTGTAAGAGCAGATTCTGCACGCTGCAGATTGATAAATTAATGCTCAGAGAGTCTCTGTGCACAGGCTCTGATGTGGATGGAGTGGCCCACAGACACTTCTCCGTGGGCAGCACTCTTCCCCAAGGCTGGCAACACCATTATTGGAGAACTAATCAGCTCTAGCTGAGATAAATTGCATTTCCACCAATTATAGCTTAATTGTTGACAGATGGGAACACAGAAGGACGATGTGTCACATCATTAAGAGAACAGGTGTATAGACAAGTGCCAGATTAATTGTTCCAGCCCATTAAATCATTGACCTTTTCAGCACACCCTCAACACTGAGCTCGAAGCTCTCAGGGTATTTCCAGCTCACACAGAATGGCTGTGTTCATCAGCAAAGTTCTTGGGGCATTTTAAAACACACAGACTCCAGCCATGGACTCATTAGCCATGAGCAGCTCTCCTTCTCATTAAAATGATTCCTCTTCTTCCTTCCCTGTGCTGGGCTTTGTTTTTGTGTTGTTCTGCTGAGATCCCACATGGTGTGTGGGCTTTCTCCAAAGTGCAGTTTTCCTCAGGGAGCAGGCAGACATTCTGTAATGGGCCATACATTCAGGGATGTCAAAAGCAGGTGAAATCAGGACACAGCAGCAGCTCAGTCCTGGGCAGCTTGGCTGTGGAAGCTCCAGCTTGATTTAGGGCTTTGTGATTTCCAGCTCCTGCTCTGCCGGGGATTTTCAATAAAGATAAATACTGGTGAAAGTGAGTCAGCCATGGGTGTCTCACTCCCTTAAATAAGTGTAAAAATGTGTCTCCTGCTCTTTTCCTGGCTGTGGAAATCAGGAATCTGAGGGTGCAGTGCAGAGACACCACAACAGCTTTGAGGGAGGGAGCAGAGGTTGGGGACAGGGATGCAGGACAAGCCTCATCTGTCCTGGCTAACCCAGAACTGACTCAGATCTCGCTCTTCTGCCTTGAAAAATGAGAGGAGCAGGTCTCCAGCTGAAAGTGCTGTGATGGTAAATGATGTTTGTTACACCTGGAGCCCCTGCCCTGCAGCAAGGAGTGATCTGAGGATGCTTTGCCCCCCTGGTAGTTCCAGTTCCAGGTGGGAAGGGAGGGAGAGAAGCAGGAGGCACCAGGAAGGGTTGATGCCCTTGGCCTGCAGCTGCAAACAGAGGCAAAGCTGGTGCTGGCAATCAGGGCTGGTGGGGAAATCTCTCCCTCCCTCCCTTGTGTTTCACCAATCCTCTCCTTATCCAGTTTGCCACGTTAAAATAACAGTGATGTTTCACTGAAATCTCCTTTTATATAAAGTGCTGGAAATCCACAAACTTGGTGGCCTTTATGGACCTCCAGGGACAACCAGACAGGATACAGGAGAATTGGGTGAAGTTCCCTCTCAGGTAACAAATTATTTTGTAAGGAAAATGAGATCATTTAATAAAAAAATTCAGTTTATGTGAGATGGAAACTGCAAGAGCATTTTTGATAGATCAGACACCTTCATATAATCCTATTTTTCAATGTGGTTGGAAATGTCAGATTGCAACAGGGCAGCTTGTTAAAATCCCTGGGAGGTGCTGCAGCCTTGATCAGCATTCCTGGGAGAGTGTCTGCAGGAAAAGATGGAGATTTCTCCATTTCCATCAATCACTCCCCAGCACTGAACCCTGGACAGGGAAAAAAAATGGACCAAAGCCAGATTTTTCAGATTATATATAAATCTGGTGGTTAGTTCTGAAGCAAGTACATGTATTTCTGTGTGCAGGACAGGAAGAAAATAATAAAAAAACCAAAACCAACCAACAAACAAAAACCCCCCACAAACTGAAAAAAAAAACCCAAAAGCCACAAAAGTGAAAGAGGAATTTTAGAAATGTGGAAAAATGTAATTTAAAGACTTTCTAAAGGAATAATTTTACCTTGCATTTTGAACTGGGGTTTGTGGTTTTGAAAAGGTTAGCCCCAGTTTAAACAGGAACTCAAAGGCAAGAGAAACATTTCATTTCAGTTGAAATTTAATATCTGGGGTTAACCCAGAATTTTCCCCAGCCCCCTCCTCCTCTCTCTACCCCATTTCACTGTTGCTCCATCCAAGGCTTTATTCCCCAATAATTTTGATTCAGCCACACAACCCAGAGGGTTTTTGTTCACCCCACATCAGTGAGCTCCTCATTTCCAGATGTCCTTTCCACTGGCCCACACTCACAGAAATTCCACTTCCAGCACTTACAGAGTTGGAATTAGATGATATTTAAGGTCCCTTCCAAAGCAAACCATTCTGATTCTACAATAAAATGCTTTCAGAAGCCACAATTACACCCCTGGTTTAGAAATCAGGGGACTGTGGTCTAGAACAAGGATGGCATCTGGGACAGGTACAGAACTTGACTGCAATGCCCCCCTTTAGCTCAAAATTGTATTTTTTAACTAGAAATATCTGTGTGACAGTGGTCACAAGGGTTCTTGGATGAGGGAAGAGACGAGAATGTTGACTCCATGTTCAGAAGGCTTAGTTGATAATTTTATGATATATCATAAAATAATAAACTAAGCCTTCTGAACATGGAGTCAACTATACTAAAAAGAAATAGAAGGATAGGTTTCCTCAGAAGCTAACTAAGCTAAGCTAAGAATAGAATAAGAAGAATGATAACAAAAGGCAGCTCTCTCTGACTCTGTCCGAGATAACTCGGCCTTGATTGGCCCTTAATTATAAACATCTAAGATGGGCCAATGAAAAATCCACCTGTTGCATTCCACAGCAGCAGATAACCATTGCTTACATTTTGTTTCTTATGCCTCAGCTCCTCAGAAGGGAAAAAATCCTAAGAGAGGATTTTTAGTGAAAAGATGTCTGCGACATATCTGCCTTTTCCTATCTTCTCCTCACTCCTCCACCCTCACTGTCTCCAGCCCCAGCCCATCCATCTGGGGGGATCCCAGCCCCTCCAGAGCTGGGGCTTGTTTCTTTCTTAGTGGCACATGCCACTAGAAATCCCTGTCAAAGAAGTCATCAAAGAGGGAAATTCTCTCTGTCTTGGTCCTCACGAGTGTGGGTTTGTGGTGAATCCTCTCTTCCCACTCCTCTGAGTCTGTGCTGGAGGAGTCCCAGAACAGATCCCTGGTCCGTGGCTCCCTGCAGAACCACAGGTCAACCTTCCCCCTCCTGTCTGGAGAGGGTTCAGCCCTGCAGAGTCCTGGGGGAGAGAAAAAAATAAAATATCATAAAATATCAGAAATAAAATATCAGCTGCAGAGCTGCTCAGTCACCTGGAGCTGAGCTGGGAATGGCTGTAGACAGCAGGTAAGGAAAATCCTGAGGGCTCCCTATAAGACCAGAGCCCATGTCTGGGGCAGGGGAGGTGTAACACACTCAGGATGATGTTTGGTGAAATTACAGAGTCTGGCAATATGGCTTTGTGCTGAGGTGGAGAGCCACAAGGGAATAGGAAGCCAGGTTTGTTCCCCTTGCTCCTGGTGGAATTGCACCTTCAGTGAGTTTTTCACTGATTTAAGCACTTCCAGCCTTCCACATTCCCAGCCTGTGCCAAAGGTTTTCACCTGCAGGCAAAGCTGGACAGGGCTCATCCCTTGGACAGGTCAGGATGCAGAGGTAGCTGAGATCCACTTCTGTAGGGACAGTGGGGAAAAACCCTCAACCTAAAAAGTGATCAGCCTCAGTGAGTGTCACACTTACCCCCGAGAGCTCTCTGGAGCATTCCAGTGCTTTGTCCTGCAAACACAGCCCCTTCCCCCCTGAACCTGCTTCTCATCACTGCAGGAGGTGGAGCAGTGGAAGAATCTTGCACAGGGAAATTTCTCTGATGACATTTAGGAGGGCGGGTGAGTTTTGCATCGCCTTGGAAAATTATTCCACTTACCAGGGTCGTCTTCAGGAAAACGCTGATTGTGCCCAGCAGGGATGGGGTCCGGGCTGCTGGTGCTGTCACCCCTCTGGGGAGCGTCAAGGACATCCTTGGGGCTGAATTCCTTGATGTTTTGCTTATTGATTTTCGCCTCCCTGTGGAGATTCCTCTTCAGCTCCGCCTGGGTTTGCAAATGAGTTGTCAACACAAGCAGCAGAGGCGCGAATGTGCTTTAATGTGTTTTAATGTGTTTTAATGTGCTTTAATGTGCTTTAATAGCTCGACGTGGCACAGCGTTAGGGCGTTGACCCTGGAAATAATTGCACAGTCGAGTAGTTTAACCCGAGCAAATGGAATCTGCCAGACTGGATACATGACAGGACATGACTGGGACAGGGATTTTTTGGTTTCTCTGTGAGTCATGGCCAAATGAGGGCACAGCGTCGGAAAAATCACAGGTAATTGCTGATCACAGGGGCCTGGGGATGCTCCCCCCCAGCCCTCGGCCTAAGACTCAGGGAAAGCTTCATTTCCTATTCCTAGCAAAAGGTCTGAAGCCTCCTGGCCCATGGGAGAGAGACCCCCATCCCCTCCCCAAATCCACCTTGGCATTACCTCTCGTCGCTTGCGGGTCAAGTCCAGCATCTGAAGCTTGTGCAAGTGCTGCCTCCTGCCAGGGAGGAGATTCAGGCTTTGCCCCCTCTTCTCCAGCACCTACAAGGTATTTGAAGATGCAAATAAATACACCTTGCACTTTCTGAAAGAGAAAGGAAGAGCCACCAGCTCACAAACCCCTCGGGCACTCCTAGATAAACCCAGCCAGCATCTCCCGGTGTTGCCAACTTGCAGGAATTCAGCACAGATTTCCACTCTGTTTGCAGTTTATCCCACAGCTCAGGGGCAGGAGGGGAAAAAATTTCATTAAAACGATGTATTCGTGCTTCTGCCCCCCCAGGTGTTACTGCCTGGAGCTGGTTCTCCAAGATAATCTCATGATCCAAAGGGAAGAACGGCATTTGAATATTTGGGGCTGCAGGGGCTGTTTGTGGCACACAGTGTTTGCAGCCTTTAAACCAGACTTATGGAATTGTTAAGGTTGGAAAAGGTGTCTAAGATCATAGAGTCCAGCTGTCCTCCCAGCACTGCCAAGGCCACCACTGACCCATGTCCCCAAGTGTCACAGCCACACGGCTTTGAAATCTCTCCAGGGATGGTGATTCCACCACGGCCCTGGACAGCCTGTTCAATGCTTGACAATGCTTTCAGTGAAGGAATTTTCCCTCAAATCCAATCTAAACCTCTCCTAGCACAAGTTGAGGCCACTTCCTCTCATTCCTTGTTCCCTGGCAGGAGCCTGAGCCCCACCTGGCTCCAAATTCCTGTCAGGGAGAGCGAGGAGGTCGCTCCCTTCTCCCCACCAACTGCAAGTGATGGGTGCTCAAATAACTCATTTAAGAACATGCCTCTCATACTTTTAGCCTCTGAAGTATTAAATATCCTGGCTCAGCAGGTCCATCTCATCCAGGGAACTGGCACGCTGGAGATCAGGAAGCTTTCCCCTTATTTTGGATCCTCTCACCCACACGGCAGCATTTCAGCTCAGTGTCCTGGGCTCAGCCAGGGACAGGAGCACAGCCAGGGGTTAAACACCAACCTCTGCCCTTCAGGGTGCCCCAAGGGGGAGGGAAAGGAGCCTGCAGCCAGGAATGACCTGGGGAAGGGCACAAACTCATGCACTTACCTTTGGTTTTGGGCTTGCAGCCACTGCTGGCTGACTCCAGGGCTTCGCAGGAGTGATTGCTTGGGGAGGGATGGCAGGTTCAAGCCTCTGCAAGTCCAGTATTTATAACATTTAGCATTGCTCATTCCACAGGACCATAAAACAGGATATGAAACTACCTTGACGTTCCTCCAGCTCCAATTCTGGCCCAGCTGCTTGGGATACAGGGAGGAGTTTGGCATCTCAGGGAGATGAGCACCATTTGGTCCTTCAGGAGTGGCAAAACTGGGGAAACCTTTTGCATTTCAGCACAGGCAGCAAAGCCCCAGTTTGACAGTAATTCCATCCCTGCAGGTATTTCTCCTTGAGCCCCAACAATGCCCATAGCTCCATCCAAGACCAGAGTGAAGCAAAACCACAGCTCAGATTGCTTCATGGCAAAGCTGAGTGTGTGTAATTTAATCATCTTAAAAATCCTATCAGGTCATCAAAGGGCAGATCCCAATTAGAGGAGACTTGGAGCACCATTCCCTCTGTCCAGCCTAAATAAGAACCTCTTATTGGCCTAAATAAATAAGGCATCTTATTGGCCTAAATAAATAAGGCCTCTCTCTGCAGAGCTGTGCAGAAGTACAGGCACAAAGTTCCTTTTCTGGTGGCAGGTGAAAACAGGCAGAGTCTTGCTCTACAGGCAGCTCTGAGCATGGATTTTTATCTCAAGGAGCCTCCTTAAGTCATGCCAGGCTCTGAGGTGTTGCTGGGTCATTCAATGGCTTGGTGTCCATGGAAAAAACCCTTCAGACCATCAGGCCCAACCATTATCCCAGCACTGCCAGGTCCAGCACCAAACCATGTCCCCAGTGCCACATCCACACGGTTTTGGAACACTCCCAGGGCTGGTGATTCCACTTGGAGTTCCCTCCTAGGAGAGGAGCTCAGTACAGCTTAATAAAAATTATATTTTTATGACTTATATTTTATTTGGGACACAATTAACTCCTCGATTATGAACAAGTGGCCAATAAATGGGGACATATTGGAAGCCTGGTTACTGAGAATTTTAGATTTTCTGTGCTAATAGGAACTGACCCCCAAAAGAACACTGCATTTGATGTGAGGTCATGGAGAAGATTTCAAAAATTAAAAAATATAACTAAGATTATAAATATATAGTTTAAATAAAAGTGTATAATATTACATAGTAGAAAACCTAGGGTCTAAAGTTTCAGAATATATATTAAAATATTGATTAAAATAATATTTATACATTATTTAATATTTTTATATTGAATCTATTTGATTTACAATTAATATATATTTATTATTTCATATTTATATATTAAATAATAAACATAATATTAATAGTATATTTCATATTTCAAATTTATTATATATTAAGTATATTATTAATATATATTAGATATTAAATATATTATTTAAAATATATATCAAACAAGATAAAAATTTTATAACAGAAATTAGTCCTTCTTCTTCACCTTCTTCATAAGTGTAAGTAATATTATATAATTAAATTTAAAAGTCCACATTACAAATCACAAATAATTAGTTATTGTTAAAAATAAAAATAATTTAAATGTCATTTCTTCATTAAACAATTTATCCTTAAAAACCTTATAAAAAACAGATACAACTCCATTTTTAAAATTTATTAAAATAAAATATTATAAAACTCACAATTTATAAAACTATAATATAAATAAAAACTAATAAACATGTAAATCCAAACAAAAAATACTATCTCACACATTTAATCCCAACCCTAACAAAAAAAAAAAAAAAAAGTTACAACTCAAAAGGGCCATGTCTGCACTGAACTGCTTCTGAATCCTGAGCTGTCATTTTGAATCTGTGTAAAAATGCAGGAGGGAAAATCAGTGTCATGAAAAGAATCCCCCACTAGTCCCCAGTGCCAAGTGTGATATCTGCAGGGTCCCCAGGATGAGGTGAAGAGATGAGTCTGATTCCATGTTCTTAGAAGGCTGATTTATATTATATTATATTATATTATATTATATTATATTATATTATATTATATTATATTATATTATATTATATTATATTATATTATATTTTATTATATTATATTATATTATATTATACTAAAGAATATAGAAAAGATACAGACAGAAGGTTACCAAGAATGATAATGAAAACCCCTCAGTCTGACACAGCTGCTGGTGACTGACCATTAAGTAAAAACAATTCACATGAACCCAATCAAACATTCACCTGTTGGACAAACAATCTCCAGACCACATTCCAAAGAGCAAAACAACAACAGGAGAAGCAATCCGATGATATTTTTTCCATTTTTCTCTGAGGTTTCTCAGCTTCCCAGGAGAAGAAATCCTGGCAAAGGGATTTTTCAGAAAATATGAGAGTGCACATCTCTTAGCATCAAAACCCCCCCAAAAAGCCAAACACGAAGCTGGAAGGTGGCACTAGATGGCAGCATGTGCCACCACAAGCCGTGCTCCGGGCTGGCATCACCCCAGGAGGGCACTGGGGCCACCAGCGCAGGGGGGATGGAGGCAGAAAACCTCCCACACCCCCAGCCCATCACCCTGCCCTGCTGGGCAAGCCAAAACAACCCAGACTGGGTAAAACTCTGTCCCAGGCTGGAAAATTGACTTTTCCCTTTAGTTTTTGTGAACAGGTTTTTGTCTGGAAAGATTCTCTGACCAAGATGCTCCAAGTCCTTGAGAAGGCCACATCATCCTGCTGCTCTGCCTTTGAGAGTATTCCCACAGGGAAAAGGCTTTTGCTGGAGCTGGGAACACTCCCTAGGAGCAGCAGCAGCAGAACAGGGTAGGATTGACAGAGTCTGTGTCCTGGGGTGAGTGTTAACCACAAGTATCTCAATAACACACGGTGGATGGAAATAAAATCAATAATTAAAAATTCCGTGCTGGTCAGAGGTTTCTGAAGGAAACTATGATTCCATATGACAGTTTTTGTGAAAAATGCATATTGTATGATTGGCTTCTTGCAAATATTAAAATGAATATTCCATGTGTTGTGATAGAAAGTGATGCTGTATTAATTTTCTTAAGTAGTGTGTTAAGTATAGTTTTAGGTTATAACAAAATGTTAAAATAGAAACTATGCTATGTAGGATACTTTTTTCTAAAGAAAGGACTCACACTGAGATAGCAGCCACAGGACACCTAAATCTTTCAGAGAAAGAGAATTTATTGCTCCATTATCAGGAGAAATGAACTTCTTCCTGCCTCACTCAGGCAGGATGATGCCATCAGGATTCAGAGGAAGAAGCTGACACTACCCAGACAGAATCCTGTGTTTGAATGGAATTTGTGCATCATGTATGAGGTGTATGAATATGCAATAGGCTGTTGTTTTTAAGGGTTAATCCTCTGTTAATATGTGTCCTTTTTTGGGTTTATTTTGCCCAGAAAAGGTACCCGGACTGTCTGTAGCTCTGTTTCTATTGTCTCATATTGTCCTAATCCAAATTGTCCAAATTATTATTACTCTAATTATATTGCTATTTTTATAACTATTTTATTACTATTAAACTTTTAAAATTTTAAAAACAAGCTATTGGCGTTTTTCACAGTTTTCAGGGTGTTCTCAGGGCTCAGTTCAGATGCCACCATTGCAGCATCCCACCAGACCCAGGGACAAGTTATCCCATAGCTGGTGGCAACCTCTGAGCTCTGAAGCCACCAGTGTCACCCAGAGCCACAGCCCTGAGGGGAGCAGGTTTAAGTGACCCCATTTGGTGGCTCTTCTGTTCTTTATTACATTTAAAAGATCATAATCACAGCAAGGAGGTCTCAAGCAAAGAATCCTTGCTCCAGTGGGTTTACTGTTCACAGGATCATGGAAACCTGAAATTTTTGGGTTGGGAGGGACTTTAAGGACCAACCCTGTCATGAGCAGGGACCCTTTTCACTAGACCAGGTAGCTCCAAGCAGATTCAGGTTGGATATTAGGAAGAAATGCCCATGGATGAACACTGGATTTGAGCTGTAACCTCACCAATGCCAAGTACTCTCACCATGATATTTTCAGAAAAATCCCTTCACCAGGATTTCTTCTCCTGGGAAGCTGAGAAGCCTCAGAAAAGAATTAAAACAATAATTATCTGACTGCTTGGGATGTGGTCTGGAGATCGTTTACCAACAGGTGCATCTTTGATTGGTTCCATGTGAATTGTGTTTAATTAATGACCAATCACCATCAGCTGTATCAGACTGAGGAGTCAGTCAGGAGCTTTCATCATCACTCTTGTGAAGCCTTCTGATGTATCCTCTCTCTTTCTTTAGTTTAGTTTTAGTGTATCATATCATGTCATATCATATCATAATAAATCAGCCTTCTGAGAACATGGAGTCAAATTCTTATCTCTCACCTCATGCTGGGGACCCTCACAATCACCACAAAGTACAGGGGAGAGAAACAAAGATTTGAGGGTATTTCTGAGCTTTAGTTATGTCTGGGTAGCCCTTGTGTGGAGGCAAATCTTGGCTGTTAGGTCAGGTACAGCCGTGGGGTTTGAGTTTTGGGCAGGAATGGGACATCCCAGCAGAGGTGGCCCTGTGTCCCACCCTGGGACACTTGTCCTTGCTGGGTGTCTCCAGAGCACACAAGTGATCACCCAAAAGCAGGGCTGCCCCTTGTGCTGCTGTAGGGTGTTTGCTGTAGAGTATTTGTTTGCTGTAGGGTATTTATTTGCTGTAGGGTATTTATTTGCTGTAGGGTATTTATTTACTGTAGGGTATTTGTTTGCTGTAGGGTATTTGCTGTAGGGAATTTGTTTGCTGTAGGGTATTTGTTTGCTGTAGGGTATTTATTTGCTGCAGGGTATTTGCTGTAGGGTGTTTATTTGCTGTAGGGTATTTGTTTGCTGTAGGGTATTTATTTGCTGTAGGGTATTTTCTTCCCCCCTGGTGCTGTGACAGTGTCCCTGTGCCCAAAAAGCCCACGGGGAGGGGTCCATCAGAGCAGCTCCCAGGGAGGTTCCACACTCAATGTTGGAATGTGCCCCCCTGTTGATGGAGTGACAAAACCATCCTTTGTCTCCTTAAAAAAGAAAAAACCCCAGAAGTTTCTCTCCTCAGTGAAAAAGCCACCTCATAGGACTTGGGGGACTTCACCTCATTAGACAAGAGCCAAAAAGTCCCACCTGAGCAATTTACTAAAAAAAAGAAGAGAATAAAGAAACAAATCACTTTTGTGAAGTGCTTTACCAAGAGCAAGAACCTCTTGCACCTGGCTCAGTTTTTCTCTTAAAGAGTTTGGTTATTTTGCCTTTTATTAACACTTTTTTATTTCCAACACTACTACAGAAGCCATCCTGCTGATTTTATGCCTTCTGAGGTAGCTGAGCTATCTTGGGTGTGAAATAGATCTCCAAGAGCTTGTGAGACCTGGCTTGAGGAGACAAATATTTCAGTTTGCCTTACCTGAGGCCTTCGAGGTGGGTGCTGTTTGATGATGCTGGTCCCATCCTGTCCTGGCAAGGTGTTCCAAGAGAGGGGCCCTTAAAGGTTGAAGAAATGGATGAAGTTGTTTTGGGGTGATCAGGTGCACTCAGCAATAGCTTTGTGCCCTGTTTTTTGCTTGGCATGTCCCACTGAAGTCCCTGGCTGTGTATTCCAGTGACACGTGGAATATTCTATTGGCTGCAGAAGTAAAGTGGGTGTGCCTGTGATTTCTAACAAAACCTCTACAGCCACTCATGCTTCTAAATGTGACCATCACCATCCTTGTGTCTCCTGTGGCCTCTCCCAGCCCCTGGGATTTGGGTGGGTGAGGGATTCTTCTCATCCCATGCCCTGTAACCACCAGCTGGCCAAGCAATCCCTGATTCTGCTGCCTGCCCTGTTAAAGTCAGGCCCAGGCAGCAGGTTGGGTCTTTTCCTACTGCTCATCACCTGATTATTGTTATTTTTTGGTGGGACTGAGCAATACCTCTGCTGATTTGCTGCCTGTGGCAGAGCTGGGCTGCAGCAGCAGCAGGAGGGAAGGGCTGGGTGCATTCCCAGACCCTGAACTCAGCCCAAAAGAACGTGTCACACACCAGTGATCCCTGTTAGTTATTAGGGCACGGCTTTCTCTGAGGCCTGGGCAGCATCTGGGCTGGGGTCTGTTCTGTGCTGGTGCTCTCAGCTGGACACCACTGCCCCTTTTGTTCTTTTCTTGCACAAATAAATACTTGCATGTGCAGGAAGTATTTCTTTCACACAACATTTTATCTGTTTATCCCACCTTTTCACCCCAACACACTGTCCTGGTGCACCCAAATGACATTTTACACATGGAGCTCAGTGAGATGTGGCTGAGCAGAGGAGAGTTGGGGATAAAGTGCAGGAAGAACATTAGCTGATGTCAAATTTAATCATATTTTTTGATGTCAAATTTAATCAAATTTTAGTCATATTTAACAAGAAAAGCAGTATTTTGGAGGTCAGTTTATGGGGAACTTCTTTGAACCTCAGGGAAGATCCCCAGGTTGGGCTCTTGGGAAAGAGAGAGGAGACAACCACAGGATCATGGAATGGTTTGGGTTTGAAGTGACCCTAAAGATAATTTTTTTTCATAATTTCCACAATCCCAGGGTCACTTTCCACTATCCCAGGTTGCTCCAAGCCCTGTTTTTGGAACACTTGGGCACTGCCAGGGATCCAGGGGCAGCCACAGCTTCTCTGGGCACCCTGTGCCAGTGCCCCACCACCCTCAGAGAGAGGAATTTCCTCCTCCTGTGAGGTGCTGGGATACAGGAGATGGTGACTCCTCCATCAGGTAAATGTTTTGCAGAGCCCTGGCAATGTTTAACCATGGAGTGAAGCTCTGGCTGCCCCACACATGCAGGAATGGGAGCCTGAGGGGAAAATTTCCAGCACAGGAGGCTCCTCTGGAGACAAACCTCATCTGCAGGGAGCACCTGGTGGAACAGCAGCTTGTTAGAGAAAAAGGGAGTTATTGCCTCTATCTGCAGGCAGTGGGTGCTGCAGATAGAGGCAATAATTCCAGGGAATTTCCCTGGAAATTCCTCAGGGAATTTCTGAGGGGAAAGGAACAGGGAAGGAGGTGGCCCATGGAGATGGGAACAGGGACACAGCACAGGGAGGTGGCTGTGCCTTAGGAGAAGCTTGTCCAGGTGAAGGGCAGGGCTTTGAGGAAGTTATTTCTCCCTTATGAGGTTTGATGGCTTGTGTTTGGGGTTGTTTTGAATTTTTCCCTCCCATCCTATCCATGCAGGACATTTGTCCTTATCCTCTGCAGATACAGAACTGGGGACTGGGGGCTGGATGTCCCCAAATCACCAAACCCCAGCTCAAGGCATCCTTGTGGCTCCTGTTCTCCTGCTGTAGCTCCTGTTCTCCTGTTTTTCACCCTTGCACTTCAACAGCAGCAGATCCTCCCCTCTGGGGGAATCTGGGTTTCAAATAAGCCAAGCTGAACCCTCACAAACCAAATAAAACCAGTTCTCTAGGAGGCTTTGCTTATTTAGACAGCAGCTTGAGCTAATACTTCACTCAAGTCCTCCTGAGCATACTCATCTTGTTTCTGAAAATGGAAAGTAATGGAAGATTGCATGTATTAATTTTTTAATAAAATACACCTTTTTAAACAAGCATTTGTTAAATGCTCAGTGATAATTTCCCAGAACAGGAACATTTGGTTGTTCTTGCTCTCGTGGAGTATTTAAAACCTGCTTTTCTACAGCAAGACCTGATTTGTATTCTCCCCAAAACCTCAGTTCTGGGAATGGCTCTGCTATCACTCCAGAGGTTCATTTGCTTTCACTGCCTCCTGATGTCACCCAGTGAATGATCCAGGAGGAAATATCCAGCCTCTGGTGAAGCAGCAGTGCTTAACACCTCTTGGTGTGGGTCAGAAATTGATTTTTGGGAATGGAAAAGCAGGGAGGGGGTGCTGGGGGGTGCAGATCCTCCTCCCTCTGCCTCGCCCTTCCTCACACCCCCCTGGTTTTCATGGATGTTTCTCCTCACACTCCCCTGAGAGCTGTGGGAAGCATTTGTCAGCATCCAGCTCCTCGTGGAGAGCTGCACCTCCTCTTCCAGATGGATGCAGGGCTCTGGGAAGGATTTGGGAGTGGATGGAGTTTAGAGGCTGCTCGTAGGGAAGCACAGCCAGGCTGTCTGCCTTCCTCTGCTCCTGGAAATTCGTCATTGATCCCAGTGCTGGGCTTTACCTGGCCAGGGTGTGATGCTGATCAGAGCAGAGCTGTGCCTGGCAGGGGCAGGACAGGGCTGGGATGGGGTCACAGGGGGGGCCAGGGGGATGCTGGGCTGTTCCCAGGGGTGTCTGATGAGAGCAAGGAGCTGGGCTCTGCTGAGACACTTTCCAAAACAGTGGAAGGGGAAAAGTAAGTTTTCCCAAAGCTGAAACATCCTGCTGTGAAAAATGTGTATTTTATGATTGGCTTTTGGCAAATATTCAAATGAATATTAGATGTGTTATGTTAGAAATCTATGCTGTATTAATTTTATTAAGTAGTGTGTTAAATATAGTTTTAGGTTATAACATAAGGTTAAAATAGAAACTATGCTATGTAGGATACTTTTTTTCTAAAGAAAGGACTTGCAGTGAGACAGCAGCCACAGGACACCTGAATCTTTCAGAGAAAGAGAATTTATTGCTCCATTATCAGGAGAAATGAACTTCCTGCCTTGCTCAGCCCTGAAGACACTGTCAGGATTCAGAGGAAGAAGCTGACACTGCCCAGACAGAATCCTGTGTTTGAATGGAATTTATGCATCATGGATGAGGTGTATGAATATGCAACAGGCTGTTGTTTTTAAGGGTTAATCCTCTGTTAACGTGGGTCCTTTTTCAGGCTTATTTTGCCCAGAAAAAGGTACCCGGACTGTCTGTAACTCTTTGTTTTTATTGCCTCATATTGTCCTAATCCAAACTGTCCAAATTATTATTACTCTAATTATATTGCTATTCTTATAACCATTTTATTACTATTAAACTTTAAAAATTTCAAAAACAAGTGATTGGCATTTTCTTCTCACTGGAAATGGCAGAAACGGCACAAAGCAGCCGAGGCAGCACCGCCCCCCCTGCACCCACCCCAGAGCAGCCAGCAAAGCCTCAGCCCCGGTGACCCCAGGTGCCAACAAGGTCCCAGCAGTGCCCCCTCACCTGCAGAGGCTCTCCCGTACCGGGTCTCCCTCAGAGGAGGCAGTTCCAGCTGCAATATCGGCTGTGCCCAGGCTGGGGCCCGGCCTGGCTCTGTGGGCAGCCCCTGCAGGGCACGCAGCGCGGGCCCATCCCCCTGGGCGGGCACTGGGGCCACCCTGGGCACCCTGGAGGAGCTCAGGCCCATCCTGCCGAGGCCGGGCTCTGAGGGGAGCAGGGACAGCCCTCAGGCACCATCCTCCCTGAGCATGAGAGGGATCTCTGGGAGCCACCCAGGGCCCAGGCTGCTCCCTGCCAGCTCCCACAGACGTCCTTCCCAGCTTGGTTAAACATTGACCCATCCCCAGCCATTCCCCTGCAGGAAGAGGAGCTCTGGAGCCAGTGCCAAGGCCTGGAGAAACTTTGGTTTTTACCTACAAGAGATTTCCAACCAAGGCCACCACCTCAGCTGGCCTGCAGGTATTTCTTCAAGCAGCTTTTGTGCTAAATCTTCAGGTTCTGGAAGGAAATTCAATCCCTGGAGCTCCAGAAGGGTTAAAGTGTCTCCCATCCTGCATGGGAGAAGCAGCCTGGGAATAAAGCCTGGCCTAGGAATAAAGCCTGGCCTGGGAATAAAGCCTGGCCCAGGAATAAAGCCTGGCCTAGGAATAAAGCCTGGCCTAGGAGCTTCCCCCACCTTTGCTGCTGCTGGCTGAGGACACTGCTGGAAAAAAAAAAAAGCAGCTTTAGGACAAAACTAACTGAGAATATTGGTAAAAGTGAGTCATATTTGATAGTTCATAGAAGCATAGGATCGTAATAGGGTTTGGGTTGGAAAGGACCTTAAAGATCTTCTGGTTCCATCCCCCTGCCATGGGCAGGGATATTTTCCATTAGACCAGGCTGCACCCAGAAGAAAATATTCATCCCTGGAAGATCCCAACCAGTTCATGTTTTCAGCCACAAAGCACCAACATCTCTCAGGACTTTGCTTTTCCCAGGGCACGAGGGAGCAGAGCAGCCTGGCCTGTATTTTTATTTTCCCTTCTTCTTTTCAAATGAAAATGTAAAATCAAGGCCCTGATTCCCCCCAGAGTTTTTCAATGCTCACTGTCTATTTTCCCTTTTTATTTTAATTACCTTCCCCCCCCAGCTGAGAACAGGTCATTCCTGTTAAGCAGCTTGGGAAAATAATTAATTAAATGCAGTGATGGATGTGTGGGAGCACTGGAAACCCACGTGGATGTTCAAGCCCATGGTGCTTTATCTGGTGTTTTACCCAGGTGCTGTCAAAATCCTGACAGGCTCCCCACACTCCCCAGTCCCCTCTCCTGCCCATGTTCCCTTCTCAGAGAGTTTTACTCTGTAAAGCAAAGAGCCCAAGAGCAGCAGCTGGAGGTTTGGGGTGAGGGGGAGCTGCAGGAGGATGCCCTTGCTGCAGGTCACTGGGGCCAGCTGAGATCCTGGTCAGGGATGCTCATCCTTCTCTTGAATTTGAGGTTATTTGATGCAAAATGTTATTTTATTTTGTCTATCTGTGAAGTTCAGTGAAATTCCTGAGTACTGTGCTATAGAACCATGGGGCTGGAGGAGCTTTGGTCCCATACAGTGCCTTTAGGGACAGCCCACAGTCCCTGCCAGGAGAGCTGGAAGAATTGTATCCCTTTCTCCCATGTCATTTACTGCTTTAAAAACTCAGCTGGAACTTGTAAGTGATGATGATCCCACTAGAATTGGATTTTTAAGCAAATTTAGTGCAGTCAAAATGAAATCATTGGCTGCTAAGTGCTCTGATGCCCTTGGTTTAAGGAAGATACTGGGAAAGCTCCAGGGCAGGGCAGTGCCACAACTCAGGGCAGAGTTTGTCACTCCCCTTCACACAGGGCAAAGGTGAACCAAGGGCAACTGTGGCATTCACATTCTCTGGAAAAATCCCTTCTCCCAGGAGTTTTCTCCTGGGAAGCTGAGAGGCCTCAGAGAAAAGGAAAACAATTCTTATCTCATTTGCTTCTCCTGTGTTGTGCCCATGTGGAATGTGTTTAGAGATTGTTTACCCACAGGTGATTGTTTCATTGGATTCTGCTGTGAGTTGTTTTGACTCAATGGCCAATCAGGGCCAAGCTGTGTTGAGACTCTGGAAAGAGTCACCAGTTTTCATTATTAACTTTTTAGCATTTTAGTAGGTGTCCTTTCTGTATTCTTTAGTACAGTATAGTAATCTTTAATATAATATTATAAAATAATTACAAAAATATATATTAATATATATTATATATATATATATACTTTAATATATATTTTATATACTTTGATATATATTATAAAATAATAAATTAGCCTTTTGAGAACATGGAGTCAGATTCATCACTCCTTCCAATGCAGATACAATAGGGAACCACTCAAACACCCAACTGCAGCAGGGGATCACCCCTGCCTTAAAGCTTCTCCTCAAAAAATGAATTTTAAATCACAAAAAAACGTGGGCAAAGGAGGGGATGGTAAGTGGGAGGGGTGGATTTTTGCCAAAATAACGCCTGGGCTTTTCTGCCAATCCCCAGTGAGTGAAGCAGAAACAAGCCCAGCAATGCAGGCTGGTGTTTATCCTGCTTGCAGCACGTTCAGGCAGTGACAGTGTGAACAAATGGATCAGCAAAGAGAGGAAAACATCCCTGGCTGGGGCACAAGCTGCTGTGGCTGATGGAGGTTGCTGTTACACATGTGTGAGGTCAAGGAACACGGCTCCTTCCTCCCTCTGCTGCTTTTGGCAGGGGACATTGATCTCAGCCCAGGCTGGGGACAGGGTGGTGCTGATAACACTGCCCAGAGAGGGCAGGCACTGCTGGGGATGCTCCAGAATCGAAAAATAGAAGGATCAGCCTTAAAAGATGTTGATAATGATAGTTTGTATCATTACCTTTCATGTTTGTATAAGGTTTTACAGCAGAGAAATAACAAATATTTTGTTTCACATATTAGAGCATGTATTCACTTCCAGGATTCTTAGAGGAAGGAAATGCAAGAGCAGATAAATGAACAATGACCATTGAGAGTGCTTTGCCAAACACCTCTGAACAAGCAAAACTGAGTCATGCATTTTTTTCATCAAAAGCAATCAGAGATGCTTGCCCTGAGTGTCACCTTGGCAGGGAGGGATTCCAAAGTGTGATGTGTTCTCTCAATGATTGCCATGGAATGCCAAAGGTGTGACAAACACCCCAATCCATTAAAATGTGGCTCCTTTTTTCCCTATGTAGGCTGGAATTTTGTTTTTATTTCTGGAGGCCCACCGAGTGAAGCAAATGCCTGCAAAAAGTGATGGCAAACAGGCTTGGCTGTTTCTCCTGCTTGCCAGGAGGCAAAACCTGCACCTGAAAAGGTGTCTAGTGATACATGGATATGTTTGAATTCCCCAAAAGATGGATGTTTTGTGATATCTGTTTGCCATAATTGCAGGCTCTGCAGCTCCTGTGGATACAGGAGGTTGGACAAACTGACCCGTTCTGTTCTCCTTCCAGTGATAAGGAGAATCTGATAAGGCAGCTGCTGGATCAAAAGTGGCATTTTCCTTGGGAGGCAGTGCCACAGAAATGGAGCCTCCCATTGGTGGGGAGGGCAGAAGGGGCTGCCAGAGACAGCCACAGCAGTGGAGGTGCTGATGTCCAACCCCTTGATGGGGGTGATTATTGGTTTGCTGTTCCTCTGAGGGATCACCAACAGCATCAGGCCAAAGAGCCTCTGTTTGCTGTCTGATCTCTTGGGTTTGGTGGGGTTTTCTCCAGCTGAAAGGCTGAGCTGCACTCCCAGGAAAAATCCTTATGTCCATGCTTAATGAGGAATTTGAACTGGAGGTTGGGCAGAGGGTGAAGGAGGGGGGTTAAGGCACTGCTGAGGGGGATGAGCACCCCTGGAAAACATCTGGGAGCAGACTGCCCACAGCAGAAGCTGTGACTGCCCTGGATCCCTGGAAATGTTCCAGGCCAGGTTGGATGGGGCTTGGAGCAACCTGGGATAGTGGAAGGTGTCCCTGCCATGGCAGGGGGATGGGACTGGAAAATCTTTAAGAACCATTCTGTTGGAACCCTGGTTGCTGAGAATTTCAGACTTTCTGTGCTAAAAGGTACTGACCCCCAAGAGAACACTGCATTTGACCTGAAGCTGTGGAGAAGGATTCCAAAATCGAATGATAGCACTGGGATTGTGGGTGTGGAGTTTGAATAGAAGTGTGTGATATCACAGGGTGGGAAACTTAAGAGTTTAAGGTTTTAGAATATAGCAATATATATAAAGCTAAGATGGAGGTTTTAGGGTGGAGGCTGGTCCTTCTTCAGCTTCTTCTCCATGAGTTTAGGTGGTTTTGTGTAGTTGTAAATAAAAAAGTCCACATTGCAGCCACAGGTGGTTGATTATTGGGTTAAAAGTAAAAATAATTTAGGTGTCATTTCTTAATTGGACAGTTTATCCTTAAAAGGCCTTGTAGAGAGAGAGATGGGGCTCCATTTTTAGTTTGTTAGAGTGAAGTGCTGGAGAACTCAGGGTTTGTGAGACTGTGACATAGATAAGAACTAATAAACATCTGAGCCCCAACAGGAAAGACTGTCTGGCCATTTAATCCCGACCTTGGCAAAAAGCAAAGAATTCACACATCTGAATATTGCAACCTGGATCAATCTATGAACATCAAGCCAAAGCAGGGGTGCTCTTCTCAAGCCTTCCTTGCTGGGATCACAGTGTTTCTAACACCCTGTGCCCCTGGCCATGGAATGTCTTAAGCAGGGGAAAGCTGACTCAAACCATGGGATTTCACAGGATTTTCCCTGCAGAATTCTCAATGAGGTTCCTTGAAGGATCCAGTCCCAGTCCTGAAGACGCTGCCATGAGGCTGCTTGCCAAAAAGTACTCATCAGTGCACGCTGAAAGTTTTGTTTTCCCCATGTGTTCAGTTTGGCAGGAGCTAAAATTTCAGTAAAACTCTGAATCCCCAAAACTATCTAGCAATGCAAATGAATGTATCAGCTCAAAAACTGGGGGGAGAGGCCAAGCTGCCATGTGCTGGGTGCTTTCAGCCCATCAGTATCGTTATAATTAACATTTTTGGAATATTGTCTGTCTCCTCTCAAAAGCAGCAGACCTGGAGCTGTAAGAGGCTTGTGTGTGCATGCAAACCTTACACCTCTCTCTGGGTTTAGGGCACAGGGGACAGCTGATTGG